TGCAGTTTATCAATGTCAAAGGATGCCAAAAGAAGTGCTGCAAACTAAAACCAAATCTGTTAGACAGCAGCTCGGGTTGATCTGGCTTAAAACGACTCGATCTGCTTTTAAACAGCTTGGCTCAAAACGGCTCGAGTTCGACTCTAAACCGACTCGAACTTACTTCTAAAACGGCTCAGTCTCCACTGGTGTACCATACGAGCTCTCACGCGCCGCCACGTGCCAACGAATGCCCAATTACCGGACAACTACGCGCTGCCACGTGCCACCGCCGGAAACCGCAACGTGCCGATGCCAGAAACACCACCGTGCGAAACCACCAGAGTCTCACGCGCCTCCATCAAACCGCCACGTGCGACCCACACACCTTCACCAAAACTGCCACACGCTACCACTGGCCACCACACGCTGCCGCCGAAAATCATCGAAACACCACAAAAAACGCTGGCAATTCCAAATCCATCAAAGATTTGGTGAGATCGCACCGAAAACCGCCTAGAAACATCTCAGATTGGGGCTTCACGCAATCTGGCTGCCATCGCGTCGGTTCATCTTCTCCGGCGTGTGTCCTCTCTTTTCGGCTTCAATTTTGCGCATAGACTAGACGTTTCCTCTCTCCCAGCCGTAGCACCGAGCACCAGTAGCTCCTTTCAAGTAGATACAGATCTGACCTGCTTCTTCGCTACGCAGATCTGCTTCTTCGATCACTTGTCGCCGCTCTGCTTCTGTCGGAGCAGGTCCACGCACGGACAAAGAAGGCTGACCCCCGTGCACTATTCGTTTTCTTTGGGTTTACGCGGTCGCACCAGGCTGGTTGCCACTCACACGTGATATGGTCCGATCTGCCGCCAACTGTTGTTTCCTTTTTCTCTGATCTTATCTATGATGAGGCTTTGGCGCTTTTAGGGTGATGATAAGGGTAAATTTGGATAAATGGATACTAACTCAGTATATTGTGTTATTTTAAAATTTTAATGAAGCTCTAAAATTAAAACCTTAAAATAGTTTTAATTAACTCTGATACTATATTGATTTTTTAAGAAAAAATAATAATTTTATTTTTCACTCTTTATGTTATTATACTTAAAGTGTTTATAAAATTTTTATTTTACTAATAAAGAAATTTTTATTCTACTAAATTTCTAATTATATGAAATTATTATTTTTATAAAATTATAATTATATAATATCAATTAATTAAATAATAAAATATGCTACTCCAACAGTTTAAGACTTTTTAAGTTTGTGCATCAAAGGTGATGAGGTGAGAAAGGAAACAAAATCTTTGTGGGGGATGGGTTATCTATGTTGGTCTGTGGACCATATAGCTCATAAGACGCATGAGTTATGGGAGTGACTTCTTTTGGCATCTTTATGAGGCAAGACACATAGAAAATTCTCAGACCTACCTATATTCTACCTCCATCAACAATCGGAAATTATTATTTTTGGCCCTGAAGATCATTTGTTCTTCATATATTATATCTCTTTATAATTTTTTTTGCTCACTAAAGAAGATAACATCTGGAGCATGTCTTATCATCCTCATTGTATTTTTCTCCCCTTATCTTAATATATCTTCTCCTTTTATCAAATAATATGGCTAATGGGCAATGGATTCGGAGATAAGCTCTGGGGCACATTATGACGAGAAGAAATATCCGGAAGAAGATGAAACAACGCATCACATAAACAAGGAATTTCCCATGTTCAATGGGATAGTGTTTTATGGAAGAATGAATGTTGTGTTTCATTATTAAATAATTAGTTCCGATATATACACAACTTTGAGTATATAAAAAAAAACCCTAAAATAAATTATATAAGAGTATTTTACTATTTATATTCTTGTACATTAAGTTATATATATTCTTTCCAACACTATCGATCAAGTTATTGAATAGAGATTGTTCATTCCCAACTTGATAATAATTATTTGAAATGTTGGATTAAGCCTTAGTAAATACATTAGCAAGTTAGGAGTTGATATGTTTGTTGTAACACCCAACAAAAAAAAAAATTTAGTTTTTAGTTTCATTTTTTATTTTTTTTAATAAATATAATTATTTATTTTAATTTATTTTATTTTATTTCAATGAAAAAATAAATAAAAATTTGTTAAGGATTAAATTAAAAATAATTTTGGAAAAAATGGGTGAAATTTTGAATTATGAGAATATTTTTGAAAGAAAAATCGAAAACCGGAGGTCAAAACGCAATTTAGAAAAATTGAACCACGTCAGACACCCGGTCAGCAGCCCCGACCAACCAGGACGCGCCAAGTGGCAGAGGCGCTGACGCGGGAGGCCACGCGTGGGGGAGCC